CTATTTTCCTTGGAGCTTCCCTTTCAGTTGGCCACATTGATTGATTCTCTGCTATCTTCTCATATAGTTCATATGCATTATCTACGTCAAGTTTCATCACTGATCCTCCCACTGAAGCATCTATCATGTTTCGAAACTCCTGGTGTAGTCCATTATAGAAAAGATATTGTGTTGCTTACTGCGGAGTCTCAAGATAAGGCATTTTCTAAACAAATTCTTGAATCTCTCCCAGGCTTCAGAATAGCTCTTGAAATCTTTATGTTTGAAGGTGTGGATTTTATTCCGGATTTGATGAACTCTAGAGGGTGGAAAGAACTTCATGGTGAATTTTTGATCCATATCATTCCACGATTGTATACTGCCTGGAGGTAGACTGAGGAACCATGCCCTAGTAGCATCCTTCAAAGTATAAGGGAATAATCGCGTTCGAAATGCATCTGTTGATATCCCTTCGTGACAAAAAACTTCACATAATATGAGAAATGCTGAGATGTGTTCATGAGGGTTCTCCGTCAATTTCCCGAAAAACCTAATGTCATGATGATTTTGGAATAGATTTATGACATCCGGTCTGAGGTGGAAGTTGGGTTGTCCGAACGGAGGATAAATCATGGCAGGTTGCACTGGAGCAGAAATTGGATTGACATAGTCCCCAACTAAAATGGGAGCTTCATTTTGGATGGCTCTCTGTTGATTTGGTTGCGGTGGTTAATTATGAACTCGAACACGAGCCTTGTTCTGTGGTTGATTCTAATTATCAACCATTCTCCTTGCTTGACGTTGTCCTCTTCTGCGGGTTCTGAACGTCCTTTCAATTTTGTGATCTATTGGGGCTAGATTAATCTCGTCAGGAGCTTGCATAAACCAATTCTTCCTGAAAAGAGTCAAGACAACAGAGAATGAGGCAATATAAAACCAATCTACAGCAATAAGACTAAAAATAGCAATGAATCTAGAATATCAATAACTAGAATAAACACCATTATTCCCTGACAACGACGCCAAAAACTTGTTACGTGAAAATCCCGCAAGCGTACGCGTTCGTTGTACAAGTAATAATTATGATGAGTGAGTTATCGTCCCACAGAGAATAAGGTTCAATTTTAGTGTATCCGATGTATCTAAATTCGT